TGACTGTGACGCGATTGGTGTCGCACACACTGAATGCCATAAATGTGGTGTTATTTTCTGTGGTAGAATTTTAAAAATTAGCTATTCCGATTCCGATTATTGTGGCATACAGACGGTACGGGAGAATTGTTGGCTAAAACAGCCAGTCTGGTCCTCAAAAATGTGACAAGCTGGTTCTGACCCAGCTACCGGTATATCCTATCTATTTGTCACGCCTGAAGACCACTTTTAATCCATATAAACCTGGATTTTCCACAAGTACTTTGTTAGTCCCAACAGTACTTCATTAGTTCTTACACGCGCACGTGAATTCCCAACACACTCCTTCGAGCGATGGATCGTGCATGTGATTCATTCGATCGGACATTCTGTCTGTCCGTCTGTTGTCGGCCCTTATTCAATTGTTTGTTTACTCTCTCCTTTGAGCCCCTATTCTCCAGGGATTTGAACCCTTGACCTCAGCCTTGTCTGTTATCTCGAGACCTCCTATCTTTTGCAGTCTATCTACTGCAGCTAGGTACTGAAACTCAGTATATCACACCATGTTCTCCAGGGATTTGAACCCTTGACCTCAGCCTTGTCTCTTATCTCGAGACCTCCTATCTTTTGCAGTCTATCTACTGCAGCTAGGTACTGAAACTCAGTATATCACACCATGTTGGCTAAAACAGTCAGTCTGGTCCTCAAAAATGTCATAAGATGGTACTGACCCAGCTACCGGTATATCCTATCTATTTGTCACGCCTGAAGACCACTTTTAATCCATATAAACCTGGATTTTCCACAGTACTTTGTTAGTCCCAACAGTACTTCGTTAGTTCTTACACGCGCACGTGAATTCCCAACAAGAATAGTAGTCCACATCACATAACAGGTCTAAGAAAGTACTTTGGCAAACTTCCCGCGCCATCGTGCAATTTTGTGGGTTTTGTACCAATCCATCAGAACAACAAATCGTCATTTTCATCATCAACCTTCCGACCCCTTGTTAGTATCAACAAAACATCAGGCATCTCCACTTTTTTGCACAATTCGCTTCTAAACACATTGAAATGGCATAATATCAAAAAAAGTGGAGATGCGAGATGAGTCCTAGTGGTGAAATGGTAGCTCCTTTGGAAGCAGTCCGGAAAATGCATCAAGAATACCAAGACAAGTGGATGACTTGTGAGAATTGGGTAAAGTTGATGAATCATCATGGCCTACTGCCTTCTAAGGTCAAGAATCCAACAAGGGCTCTGAGTTATGGGATAAAGAACTTTTATAAGAAATGTGGTGTGTCGCCACGAGACTGGATCCCAAACCACCTTGGATTCTATGGCGCCACCTATGGCGATTCACAAGTAGCATATTGTTCCATGCCAAGAGAGCTTGCTGAAAAGTTGCAGGCGCTAGGCAAGGCCATCAATGGCAACAAAGCAGACCTTCAAAAGCGATGCACCAACAATGGGATTGCAATCTCGGAAATGCGTATGAAGATCAAACAAGGATGGGAGAATAAGCCGAAAGGAATGTTGCAGGTCTTGTGGGAGCGTGGGTTCATCGATACAGCTGTGCCAAAGTCTGAACTTTGGAAGAAATATCCAGAAAAGGGTCAGAAAGACAACTTGGGGCTTGTAATGCCAGGAACTGCGTTGAAAGAGATGGTCGCCGACTTACCTGATTTTCAAGATGAAAAGACACTACTACAATATCATGCTGAAGGCAGGAGTACGGCTGGTTGTCAAATAATGTTCATCAGAAGTCCAAAGTGTCATCCTGAAATTGCTGGCGAAGGCATTGAGTATGATTGGGCTGGAATCAAGTCGTATTATCCTCGTTCGGACCTAGCATCCAAGAAAACTCTGGAAGCATTCAAAGCCTTGGTGAAAGAGAGCATGGAGTCTGTCCAGTTCAATCATCGAGTGTCATTCTCTGCAAGGGCCAGGGAGTACATGCTGGCTTATGATGTCTTTGATTTTGTACCATGCCACGCATTTTCTACAAAATGCAGTCTGATCTTGGTTTGGACTGTATAACTCAAACATGTGAGTTATAACTCAGACGTGTGAGTTATAACTCAAACGTACTCAGGAACAGCCGGAAACGGTGGTCGGAGTGGTCGGCAAAACGTTTGGGGAGAGACTGGAAAAGGAATCTGAGGGTTGCAGAATTTCAAAAAAATTGGACATTCGAAAAACGGTCCGATTCAACTCTCCAGGAACACCCGGCAAATGTTCAGACCGAGTATTTTCAGGACACTGATCGCAAAGTTTGACTTGCTTGTGCCCGGAGAAATAAATTTATTTTTTAGCTTCGAAAAATGTATGTTATTTCCCTTTAACTATGAAAGACATATTATTATGTGATGACACAAAATACAAAAACGGGTGGGTGGGACTTGAAATTGACAACGGATAGTTTGGTATTGGCAATGAAAAGGAGATTGTCATAAGGCCAACGTTATTGTAACAGCATAAAGCGCCGCAGCATTGAATGAATCTGCATAGGGTACTGGTTCAAATCACAAAATGACTGAAATCGTGTCGCATCGACCTTCTGGTCATTTCCAAAAAGACTGTAGACCATGATGTCCATTATTGATTTTATATGGATACAGGAACACCCGGCAAATGTGCAGACCGAGTATTTTTGAAACTTCTCGCAAATTTCCATGTGGTTGTGCCCGGAGATATTAATTATACATTTTTAGCTTTGGAAAATCTATGTTATTTCTCAAATTTGTAAAAGTATTAATGACTTCTTAATTATGTGATGATAAATCAAATGGGGACTTATGGACGCGGATGACCAATTGGTCATTATGACTTTTTCTGAGTTATAACTCAAATCACAACGGAATCCTGAGTTATAACTCACGGCCTTGAGTTATAACTCAAACATGTGAGTTAAACGTACTCAGGAACCGCCGGGAACGGTGGTCGGAGTGGTCAGCGAAACGTTTGGGGAGAGACTGGAAAAGGAATCTGAGGGTTGCGGAATTTCAAAAAAATTGGACATTCGAAAAAACGGTCCAATTCAACTCTCCAGGAACACCTGGCAAATGTTCAGACCGAGTATTTTTGGGACACTGATCGCAAAGTTTGATGTGCTTGTGCCCGGAGAAATAAACTTATTTTTAGCTTCGAAAAATCTATGTTATTTCCCTTTAACTATTAACGACATATTATTATGTGATGATATATATCATATAGGGACTTATGGACACAGATGACCAACTGGTCATTGTGACATTTTCTGAGTTATAACTCAGATCACAACAGATTCCTGAGTTATAACTCACAGCGTTGAGTTATAACTCAAACGTGTGAGTATGTGTGAGTTAGAACTCAAACGTGTGAGCTATAACTCAAACGTACTCAGAAAATGTCAGGGGGGTGATGTTCTCCAATGGGGGAAGGGCAGCTTCAAGCGATCCACAAATGAAAAATCATCCGATTTATAACTCAAATCACAACGGAATCCTGAGTTATAACTCACGGCCTTGAGTTATAACTCAAACATGTGAGTTATAACTCAGACGTGTGAGTTATAACTCAAACGTACTCAGGAACCGCCGGGAACGGTGGTCGGAGTGGTCGGCGAAACGTTTGGGGAGAGACTGGAAAAGGAATCTGAAGGTTGCGGAATTTCAAAAAAATTGGACATTCGAAAAAACGGTCCAATTCAACTCTCCAGGAACACCTGGCAAATGTTCAGACCGAGTATTTTTGGGACACTGATCGCAAAGTTTGATGTGCTTGTGCCCGGAGAAATAAACTTATTTTTAGCTTCGAAAAATCTATGTTATTTCCCTTTAACTATTAACGACATATTATTATGTGATGATATATATCATATAGGGACTTATGGACACAGATGACCAACTGGTCATTGTGACATTTTCTGAGTTATAACTCAGATCACAACAGATTCCTGAGTTATAACTCACAGCGTTGAGTTATAACTCAAACGTGTGAGTATGTGTGAGTTAGAACTCAAACGTGTGAGCTATAACTCAAACGTACTCAGAAAATGTCAGGGGGGTGATGTTCTCCAATGGGGGAAGGGCAGCTTCAAGCGATCCACAAATGAAAAATCATCCGATGCAACGCAGACTCCAAAGAAAACCACAAGTATAAAAGTAACGTGCTCGCCTTCGCCATGAAACTTTGAATCGTCGATTGAAGTGCTTTAATATTTTTTGGACGCTTGTAGTTGTTGGAACAGTCCAATTCCAAATGAATAACGGTCACCCTCTCTTTGATATAGGATAATTTACCACATATCTAAGACAATTTTACTAATACTTGCTAGTCCTCAGACATCGGCGATTCTTCCTCCTGCTTCTTTGTTTCCTTCTCCTTTTCGGCCATTGCTACTTTCATACGTTGTTCATAGAGCAACAAGTTTTCTTTCTTTTTTTTCTTTCTTTTCTTCCTTCTTCAACTTTGCCAGCTTGTTCATTCTTTTATCCTCTAGATAGTTGTGGTACTTTTGAAATCTAATGGGTGGTATTCAACCCTAGTTTCTTGAAACTCCGATGCTGTGAGGCCAACATGATTTTTTTTCTGCAAAGTGGCCCGTCTTCTTTTCCCAGGGCAGCTTTGCTTACTACTTTGTGCGTGTGCATGCCAATTTGGGATGGGGTGGGATTCGGTGTTTGGGTGTCAACAATTAAACGGGAAAAAATATTTATTTAGTTAACCTTTTCATGTCACATCTTGTTGTGCCTAAATACGACCCAAAACTTCGTCGTTTTATTTCCGACTCAATCGACCATTTGATTGCCAGCTGGATCCACGCGTGGAGGCCACTTGATTCATTCATTCCACGTGGAGGTCGTTTGCAAAGAAATGCCAGTGCATGAACCACGATTCGACTCATTGGACCTCGATTTTGAATTTGATGTGTGCCGAGTTGCCGGCGCGGAAAGGAATGAGAACTTGACAGCAAAAGCCAAAGCAAAAGGGGGAGAACTTGATGTTTTGTGGAAGCAAAAGACAAACAAAAGAAGCTTTCTGTACCTTGGAGGCAATGGGATGGAAGCATTCTAACAACATTTAAAGTCAAATGTCAACTATTCTAGTCTAATATTGTTAGCTAAATCTATTAGTGATGGCTCGTACTAGGCTAGACAGTGCCAAAAAGCGGCGGCGGCGTTGGCAAAGATACAAAGAAAGTCTATCGCTGATGCTCAAAC